AACCAAGCGCTTGGTTCGAGCCACTGTTCAACCGATGATCGAGTATAATCGATGATCGTGACATCACTAAGTAACATCAACAGAACGATCTCGGACGGGATGCGCCAGGGTTTGCGCCGAGTCGCTGTTACGTTCGGTAGTCTGTTACTGTATACGCTGTATATTTTGTGGTGATGTAATTTCGTGAATGCGTCCCCGACCGCGAAATTAAACACGCGAATAATTCATAATTCACCGACGGCGAAATTAACCACTCGCGAAAGTGTCTGTCAAGTCTGAATTCGCGAAAATATCTGTACGCGAAAAATTTGGCGTATACAGTCTGTAACCGAGTCTGCTGTGAGCCCAGCAAAATGCGATTTTGCATTTTTAGAAAGAAAAAACACTTATAAAGGTCGGGGGACAGATAAACCTATTATAGCCATAATCGTGAATAGCACGCGACACAACTGCATCCCACTCTCGCTGCTGCGCTGCACACGCGACACAACTGCATCCCACTCTCGCTGCTGCGCTGCACATGTATATGGTCACGGTCATCCAATACGTGCTCCCACGCCAGAGATGCCAACACATATTTGAAGCAATCTGTAGTTGCTGGTCATCAAATTAGTAGTTCGACGTGACCCGAGTTTGCTAGGGGGGGTCCGGCATGCTCCCAGGAATTTTTTTTGATTCTGAGATGCAATTTCCTGCATTCTGAGGGTCAAAAATGACAATAAATTGCCCAAAAAAATTTTTTGTTCTGTAGTTTGATACAAACTGGTCGTAGTGGTGCAAAAGGAATAGAAATTCGTATAAAATACGGATAAATCGTAGTGGTTGGCATCTCTGCCACGCGCTCTCCAGCACTTACTGAATCCGGCGGACCCTGTGAAGGGAGCCGTGGCGCCCGCGGGTTTGTTGCCAAACAGACCCGTCCCCGTGTTAGCCGCGCCGAATCCAAACGTCGGCTGTGTGGTCGCCGTGGACGCGCCAAACGCAGGCGCCTTCTGTCCGAAGAGACCGCCCGTCTGCTGCTGCTGCGAAAACAACGGAACGTCAGGCGGGAGATGAGAACGGGATGCAGGGAGGGGAGACTGTTTCAATGTCTGTGTCTATCTCTCTCTCTCTCTCTCTCTCTATCTCTCTTTTCTTTTCTCTCTCTCTCACTCCCTCCTTCCCTCTCTGTCTCTGTTTCTTTCTTCCTCCCCTCCTCTCTCTCTCTCTTTCTTTCTTTCTTCCTCCCCCCTCTTTCTCTATCTGTATCTCTCCCATCTCTCTCTCTCTCTCCCTCCCTTCCTCTCTCTCTCTCTCACTCCCTCCTTCCCTCTCTGTCTCTGTTTCTTTCTTCCTCCCCCCCTCTCTCTCTCTCTTTCTTTCTTTCTTCCTCCCCCTCTTTCTCTATCTGTATCTCTCCCATCTCTCTCTCTCTCTCCCTCCCTTCCTCTCTCTCTCTTTCTCTTTCTTCCTGCCCCCCCTCTCTCTCTCTCTCTCTCTCCCCCTACCTCCCCTCCCCCTCTCCCTCTAGCACATACCTGTGGCTGCGCGAACCCGAACGCGGGTGTTGCTGTATTCGTTGCCCCGAATAACCCCGTCTGCGCCTGCGTCGTTGCCGCTCCCCCAAACATCCCTCCGCTAGCATTCGTCGTCGAACCAAACAGAGGCTGGGAACGCAAATCGCAAACTTCAGAACACGACGTTTCCATACTCAGCTGGAAATTGGATAACTTCTGCCGAAACTAGGATCCGATAATCTGCACGCCTGTATCGACGGACGTAGATCAATAGATATGTTTGTAGATATAAGATTATAGATACGATACGATGTGACTTGAGGACACACAATGTTTTCACGTCTGTCGACGCTAGGATTTCACAACGTACGCCGACGTACGTACACCTGTTTCCAGAGGGCGCCGCACAAAAATGCAGCCGCGATAGGAAAATAGGAGCGAGGATATTATTCTCGTATACGCGAAGCAAATCGGAGCCTGAAAACGTTTTTACGTTTCGCAGTAGCGACAGCACGCGAATTAGACAAACGTAGACGAGAGAGCAAGGTCCGTAAAAACGTCGAGAGCAAGACACGTCGATCGTCGCCGTGACGACGCATACCTTGTTCGCCGTCTGCCCGAAGAGGCCGCCGCTCGTCGCCGTGGTTCCCGCCGCGAAGCCGAACGTTGAGCCGGCGGTCGTCGTGGCAACGCCGAACGCGGGTTTCGTCTGCCCGAACATTCCGCTGGTGGCAGCCGGCTGACCGAACAGCCCGCCTGCTGTACTCGTGGCCGTGGCGAAACCCGCTGAAACCCCAGCATGAGAGATTGTCAATCGTTAGTTAATCGTTATTAATGAGTCATCGTTAGGTCTTTATTTAGATCTTGATGTACTTGCATTCGATTTTGATTTTTTAATTTTTTCATAAATATAATTTTTTTATCGTGCGACCGACCACCTTCTCATGAGAAATTTACTCGTGAAAAACAAATAAAAAAACAACGATAACTATCTCATACCATTAAAAATCACTACCAATAGCTTCGAAGCGGGATTAAAACTGCAAACACTTCTTAGAGATTCCGAATCGACGCGCATAAAAAAAAATCTCAAAAAACCGCGCTGCGACGGCGTCTGCATGCCCAGCGTAGATGGCGCGTCATGCGGACTTACTCGTGGGACCGAACCCGGTTGACTTTGCGGGCTGTACGAACGTGATACCGGCCTGTGTGGTGGCGGTCGCCGGGCGGCCGAACAGACCCGTGGAGGCGGCGCCGATCGTCGAGCCGGCCTGCGGACCCTTGCGACTCGCGAGGTAGTCTTCACAACGCAGCTCCTGCGCAGAGAACATGCGAGCGTTAACCCTCGACGATAACATCTATGTATAAGGATACAATACATATGATATACGTACCGCTGCACAGAGAACACGCGAGCGTTAAAGTGATTACCTCACCATAAATAGTAAAAATAAAAAAAATATTCCCACTTTTTCACAAAATATAAGTAATTCTGTTGACGTTTTATGGTTAAATTGCTTCCTATTTTACTATATTGTTCGATGTGAACATACACTCGTGACTCATACATAGCCCATAGCAAGCAATTAATGTCAGAAACATAATATCAAATCGTCCAGGTTTTTATGGATTTTTAACTAGTTGAGAAACAATCTTATCAGGTAAGAATTTGACGATACGTTTAGTACCGTTAGTTCTTACTTTTAATGTAAAAAAATGGCAACAAAAATGTTACGAATTTTACCATAGAAAATTCGTGACGTAGTCAATTTAACCCTCGACGATAACATATATACACGTAATGCCATGCAATCCTTTGACCGATCAAAGAAAAATCATTTTCAATAGAGTTTCAATAGAAGAACAATTTAATCTCACAAGAGTTTCAGAGTTACGGAGTTCCCATGCAGTGAAAAAAATACACCGGGGCTCGGGGCGATTTAGCCCCCGAAATGCCAAAAAGAGCTCCCGTAAATTTGCATAGAGTTCAATGCAAACCAAATTTTAGAGTGCTATTTTCATCCACGCGAGCTTGAAAAGTAGTCCCCGAAAAATAAATAATATTTTTTTCCCTGTTGCCATGAGCGCGTTTAAAATCATGACGACCACGATAAAGTGAGAGATAACGTTCATCGTACATTTCGGTACCATCGCATCGCGTGCAAGCGACACGACCGATTCAGAACACGACAAGACACAAGACAGCCCCAAACCCAAGACCTTCTGCGTACGATTTCGAAACCCCAAGCGAGACCGAGAGTGCCACACCGCAGCCACGCGTCGTGCGGCACCGGACGTACCTCCAGACTCTTCGTTTCGTACTCCTTCATGGCGGTGATGCACTGGTGGCGGGTGTTGATGTTCGTTGACACGCCGTTCTTCATCGTCGTGTCCTGGCCGGCCAGCGGGTTGAACTTTATCGTCGTTCCCGTCGGCGCGCTGGCTCCGAACGGCATCACGGCTGCAAGCAGCAGACACAGGCGCGTACACAGCCTCTCTCTCTGTCTGTCTCTCTTTCGCTCTTACACATTGTATACTGGCATGTATAAATGGCTATAACAGAGTTCGAGAGTAGATGAGACAGATCCCTACATTTACTGTCTACATGCTCGTCTACTGTTAGCTGGTCAGGTTTGGGTGGAAAGAATGTTGACCACTCTACGTGTAATTCACTGTGAATGTGTCATTTATTCTCTCTCACTCTCTCCCTGTCTCTCTCTCTCTCTCTCTCTCTCTCTCTCTCTCTC